TAACCTAAAGAGGTTCCCTCGTGAGATTTCAAAGCAATTTGCCTGGCTCTATGTGACAGGAACCCTGCAAGACTTTTTTCCTGGACTCCGGCAAAAGTTTTACAGTGATTTTTGACTGGAATATATATTTAAAAACAAGCTATTTTGTCTGCTTACCACCACCATCTAGACTGAGTATGCGTATATCTTTTGTGAATGCTTGTAGATGATAATCTTTCATCATTAAACTTAATTGGCGTACCAATGATGATGATTTTATGCCTTCTTTTTCCATCCTAATCAATTCAGCAGTAACAATATACATATCATAATCATCTTGGATCTTATTCTGTTCGACAATATAGTTGAAATGACGCTTTCTTCCTTCTATGACCACTTCTGTTGGTGTAGCCTGATAAAATCCTTCACTGAATTCTATAAATTTTATTGATTCATTTACTCCTATTTTCTTATGTAATTGTTTATGTTTATCATAAACACCTTTAACAAATATTGCACCAGGTTGTGAACATAAAATGCATAAATCAAATAATTTGCATACTTTACATTGGCGCCAACTAATTAGATCTATACTATCACCACAATTGTCACATCGACGATCTGTAGAAATTCGACTGGATGGAATAAAAAAGTCAGCAGCAGTTGAATGCATAATACTTTGTACAAACAATTGTGCAACTAATTGATGATATTGTTAAATACCAATAACAAACAAATTTATTTCGGTTGTCTAATGGTGTCTGAAGTTTATTTTCCTATTTCAAATTGTATTCAATTAATAAAAGAACAACTTTCTATAGAGTACAATGCTAGTTTTTACTATTTATAAAGACTACACTATAACTTACTCATTTTATAACGTCTCTAATGTGTGATGGTGTAAACGAGGTTTACACTTTATCATACATGACGCTTTTCCGAGAGAAAAACCTGAGGAAACTGTGATATATAATCAAGTTATAAAGCGCAAAATCAGTTTTTCTTCATTACATAATGTGTACCACTCCACACGTTACATAACGCCATAACCTGTGACAAAGTAAAAAATAAAAGGCACTGGAAACACTAGAAGTCTATTAGACTCGTGCAGTGCATCCGAGGCCTCCCGAGGATCTGAATGACCACAATAAATATCTTTCCTGTCCGCAACATCTTGTATTCTTACACAACCTACAAAACGAGCGTTTCCTCAGATCTAGATATTAGAACATAATAAGATCACCAAATGCTAGAACTCTTCACCGTAAATCTTAAAAAAATGATTAAGCTGTGGAGATCATTTCAACCAATTGTATTGTGACAAAAAAAAACTTTTTGACTTCATTCATACCTTCTGGATGATTCTGATGTGCGCCAAAAGCCTAACAGACTTACTTGTAGTAATTTCAGTGCGCCTTTGAATTCATATAAACTTGCAGAGGGATATTGTGTGACGCTGAGATTTACGGGCAGTTTTCAATCGAGTTCAATTAAAAGCTACAAACGACGCTCTTTAACAAACTGAAAATGGACTTCCACTACAAGTAACGCCGAGCCACTGCATTTATAGGTTCGAAATTAGAATGAAAGATAGTTTCACAGGTTTTTATAATCTACTCACAATAAGTCTGTTGAATAG